CACACCATTCGAAAATACACATTTCCACCCTCCAGCGCTGACGCTGCTGCGGCCGAACTCGTGAACCTATATGTCCAAAAGGGGCATAACTACCACGCCTGCCACCGGTTTTTGAAAAAAGCGCCGAATGCGGCGACCTGTGTGTGTCCAACCCTGGACAAAGGGTCTTCCACCACCACTCTTTCCACTTTACATGGGCAGGGGGGCCAGGCCTGTCACATCCAACCTGGCCCAACGAAGCTGGGATGTGGCAGGGGAAGCACCAAAGGACGCTTTGGTGTGTACCTGCAACAACTTTTGAAAAAGCTGTCCAATCCGCCTTGTTTGATTCATGGTGGTTACATGTTTCCTCCCATAAACCTTTTCCCCGCAGCTGAGCTCGTCGTCGCATCACCTGTGCAGATCGTTTTTGAGACCACTTGCAAACAATGTTCAACAATACATTTGCGCCGACTTTTCCACATTGCGGTTCTTCGCCATCCTTCCCATCGGAGAAATTGAGCTAACTGAATACAAACTGTCGAAGTGTGTCAACGCCTGTTTCCAAGGAAGATGCACAGACGAATTAACAAGTAAGGAGTTCCTGCACGATAAACGCAGGGGGGCAGTGATCCTTTCAACAGCCACTGCCTAACAAAGACGCTGTTGATCGGATGTGATATTCAGAGAGGACGCTCTCTGAACGTACCTGCACCAATTTTTGAACCACCTTAAAGTGCTAATGAGCTTCCTTCGTTTCACCCAAGTTCAACATTTCTGGTGCACCGACCCAGCATTCTTTCGGTTCTTGCGAGTCAAGGTCTAGTTCCTGCAGCCGGTAATGTAATCACTAGAGTGGATTGCCTTAACTGATTTAGCTCTTGCGAGCATCAATCTAAGTGTGTGTGTGTGTGGGTCACGCTTAAGCATGTTACCCCGTATGTTACCGCTGCCATGGCCCGACGCGGCCTGTGAACAAAAGAATCGCAATTCCGGAGCTCGCTACGTGGTCCGATTAAATGTACACCGTTCAAAAGAGACCCAACTTTGGTCGACTAAAGAGATCTAAAGAATCCGTTTTTCCGTTGCGTGCTAGCATCAAGCTTTGCAACGCACTGCTTGGAAAAAATAAGTTGCATATCATGAGCACTGTCCCTTCCCTCACCCCGCGGCACTCACGGTACGGTATGCACCTACGTCCAAATCTATACATATATATATTAAATTTCTATATTGTATGTATACATTTGCGCGTGCCACTATCTTTCTATTGCACGATATGCGAAGCACACTCTAGCTAAGACCTCACCCGATGCGTTCTTTCTGACGGGATGTGAAGGTGCTTGGTCAGCCGTGTCGGTAACGGACGATGGACCGATGAATGAAATTCCTCTGAGTCCCAAACATTAAATTCAAATCTTGAGATGCGACTCTAGAAGCTGCAGTAGAAGGAGATGATCAAATGTTTGCGAGTCGGCTTCAACTTGCAGATTTTTGGATATCCACCAAACATTCACGACCTGGACACCTATGTTTCCAAGATTTTCCGGGGAGTTTTGATTTCAGATGCCAAAAAATATACGAAAGATGTCACAAACTAGGTTGACAATAACAGGGGCAGAGAAAAGAAACGATTTGCAGAGTCTATGTCTCAACGAATCCATGTACAACGCCATGGCACACACCTACGCTGGGTGTCCACGGCTTTTTTCCGGGTTTTTTCGAGTGAACCTCCACGTCAGTTGATTCTTTCTAGGAACCCACGTCGTTGGCATTCGTTGGCTGTTTGATGCTGTTTGTGATGATGGTTCGACCCGCATCGGGACCGGCGGGGGACCGAACCGCATCGGGTGGAGGGAGACTTCGGTCGCCGACACGTCGTGTGTCTCTCTCGGTCTGAGCGAAAAGGACGGTCCAAGAGGGAGATGGCTTAAGGACGTACAAGCCGAAACGATGGCATTGCCACTGCGGCGAAACGAGTGCTGGACGTGCGTGCTCGGTGAAGCTTTCAGAGGTTCGCGAAGATGCGGGGTAAAGGCATTGGTTGGAAAAGCACATGACCCTGCGGCAAAATGAGTGGACGACCTACTGGTCAGGGAACTCAGTAAGTAAAGTGACAACAAAAAGCATCTTAAGGACTCAAATCCCAGGCCATCTACAACCCCATAAGGCGACGGGAGCAGCTGTTCAGCACGGGTGATTGAACACAAATGAAGTGCGGTGACTGAGTTTGTGACCAAGCGTTCGACCGCACATCTTCCAAAAACATGCAGTTCCACCACTTATAAAACCACAGTTTTACCTCAATTCTTGAGCGGTTTGACCGCATACTTTACCAGAGGTTTTGCACGTGGTATTTTGCTCGGTTTTCTTCCGAAAAGTAAAAGAACACATATATACTATATACAATGTATTTATCAATTGATCCCCTGTGCTTTGGCTCTGTGCATGTGACCCCGGACCGTCGGAACCACACCCTGAAGCTCGCTCGCCCTGAGGATTGGAGTCCCAGCACCCTGCTCTCCTTTAGAAAATTCTTCCGCACCGGCGACCATCGCAGGAGGTCCAAGAACTTCTGCAGCAGGCCCCCGCGGAATGCAAGCAGCGCCAGCACGGCGAGCGAAGCCCACCTTGCACCGAGACAGGTTGCTTGAGATGTTTTAGATGTTCCCTGTCGCGTCTACTCACCAAATGTTGCATGACATTCTGGAAACTCAAACATAGATTCGACGGGCATGTGCTGTTGAGTCTCAGAGGGTGGTTGATCAACCACCCTGGACAGACCCCGGTACAAAGGAGCACTCTTGATCTATCTACAGGTGATCTAAAGGTGATCTAAAGGTGATCTAAATGTACTTGTAACTACTCTAAACTCAATCTAAACAACTCTTTACTACTCTTAACTACTCTTAACTGTTCTTAACTACTCTTAACCTCTCTTAACTGCTCTTGACTACTCTTGACCACTCAAAACTATGGTCTACTCACTGGTATGCCACACAAATCACGTTTCGTGTGGCTCTTTGAGTGAATGATGGCTCAAAGTGAGAATTGGAAGAGCAAGTCTGTGGTGGTCTGTGCAGGCCACAGGCTTGTAGTGTTTCCCCGAAATGGGGATGATTGGCAGAGCCAATGGTCAGTGGTGGAGCTGTGGCATGCCACGAAGTCAGATGAACCTTTGTGCCTGAGCGCTCAATCCAAAGAAAGGCAAAGGCTCCGCATCTCTACTGCATTAGAAACATATTGGCATTGACTGAGAATTTTCAAGATTGAAAACTTGGAAAATGTTGTTCGATCTAGACTTATGACCCGGCCCCAGGCAAGCGCTTCAATGACCGTCAAGAATCCATTCTGGCCTACCATAGGTTGATTTGGGGTGATCAACCATTGAAGCTTCTGGACTCGACAAGGAGCAAATCAGCAAAAGCGGAAACTTGGGCTGATTAAAAAAAACAGCTAGGCAACCTCCCATTGTTTGCCACAAACAGTTGCAACATGGATGGAGGCAATTCCAGTATCAGGGAAACATGATCCTGCTAAGGACATTGAGCACATGTTTGTGGAAAAGACCATTCCAACATCACTGCTCCTGGCAATGGTTGGATGGGTCTTGCAGAATGGGAAATCAGTGGTGGGATCTCGCCAGTGTTGCTTCAAGCTTTTGAATGGGCTCATTCAACTGTGCATCAAACACGGTGGTTTTAGCGTGAAGTTTGAACTTGGTAGTTCAGGACCAATGTGGGTAAACATGAATCAGGGGTCATTGAATTTTAAACACTGGACCACTGGACTCGTACTCCCTGAGCCCCTTCACTCACTGCGCTGGTACAACACTGGTAACCTTTTTCACTGCGCTGATATCTCTTCTGCTGCAGGATCATTGCTGGACATGCCACTGGAGCCTGACAATCAGACGTTTCCGCTGCGCTGCATTCTCAAAGATTCAGCTCAGCAGCTTTTAAACATGTGGCATGCAGAGCAGTTTGTTTCTTGGATGAAATGGAAAATCATTGCACAGTCTCAGTCTCGGGTTTCTAGGTCATTATCAGGCTGTCAGTCAAGTAAAGCTGTAACTTTGCAGTCAGTCAGTCAGTCAGTCAGTCTGACAAACATCTGATCCAGATGTAACAGTCATCCCTGAAATAGTCATTTAATTACTGATCCATGCAACAGTCATCAGTTGCCAGCAACGTCCCAAGGATGTGGCCTCGCCTTGGGTGACGGATTCGCCTACCACATCAAGCTTGGCCTCAGTGATTGCATTTTGCCTGGATCCGACGCTTGATTCAATCCTATAGTCATTCAAATAATTTAGGCAAATCATCAGGTGTCCTGAGTCCTTTTTTTCATCTGTCATTGATCCATGCCAAATAGCTGAACCCACTACCCAAGGGACCCACCCACTGCTGAAGCTGAAGCGTTCCTGTCCAGTTGTTGTTCATGCAGCCAGGAGACACCCTCGCCACACCAATGTCTGGATCCGACTGCGCAGCATCGCAAACTCCTTTCTTGCTCAGATTGCAGCATTTTTGGATTCTTGGCACTATAGATTGTCATACTGGTCAGACTGTGTCACTGTCTCACTTCAGTGTGATCACTGACGTTGATATTACTAACATTACTGACTGATTCTGGCGAGTGTAATTGATCAGTCAACATTTAATTAAGGATAGCCATGTCCATGCTATGTGCCTATTTGATTCTGGCGTGAAGAGACAACCCCGAAGCAAGATCTCACCTGCTGATCGGTATTTGATCCTGCGGTCAGTTCATGAGGGCAGGCACTGGATGACTTACACAAACTACTGTCAAGCGCATCAATCAGACTTCTGATGATTCCTTCATTGCTATAATATTATACTATATTAACCTGAGTCTGGCATCAATCAATTAAATTATTGCAGCAAAGCAGAATTCTTCAAACATAATACACACTGGAAACCCTTGATTGGAGGCACTTTACCATCTCTAAAGCCCTCATTGCCTTCAACGCCAAAGTGGGGATCTCAAGACTTTGTCAATGGACTATGGCTACCTGGCTTCATTGGCACCGTCTCATGCAGGCAACTAAGCAACTAACAGTTCATTCTGAATTTGGATATTGCATTGTGAAGTCACATTTTCAAGCAACTGCCCACGTGCTGTGGAGTCTAATTCTGTTCATTAAGGAGGCCTATTTGCGGAAGCTCCACATGACATTCAAGGAGTCATTGCAGCTTCAGGCAGGAGGACAATGCTGGATCCCAGATTCAACTATGAAATCAACAAGTTGAGAAATGAGAAATTGTTGATGTTGACTCATTTAGTATTGCCATGAATGGAGGTGTCCTTTGATGGCTCGGCAGTGCAGAAGGTTCCGGTGGAGCTCTACAAAGTGCATTGCACCCTGGATGCAGTCTTTGGTATGCATGAATCAAATCTGTCACATTGGCATTGAATTGAGCCCTAGCGTAGTAACAGCCAATCAATGCAATCAGCAAATTACAACTAGTAGTTTTGTCAATTGACGACTGACGGCAAGGCCACAGGGGAGATCTTTCAGCTTACCCACCTCCACTGGCACCTGGTCATAATTTTATTTGTCAGGACGACTATCGAATCGACGCGAGTTGAGACTGACTGACTGGGACAGGACCATGACATCATCCCGGACTCTTCATCAAGACTCGTCGTTGAATCGAGTCATCACTGGGTGGTCAGTCAGTTGACAGTGATTGATTGAATAGTTGTATAGGGTAGTTGAGGATTTGTCAATTGCCAAATTCAATCCAATTTCTATCTGATAGCCTTTCTCATTTCAAGATGATGGGTGATGTTGCTGCAGCCACCGCGTATGGTGGTGGCGACAGCTGCGCGGACAGCTCAGAGCTGATGATGGAAACATCATCAGATGCATCCTTCCCGATGACACAAAGCACAGCTTTTGGTGAGGCCAGTTCAATTTCATTCAGAACTGATTCATTTGCAAATCAGGCCACTTTCTACATGTTGTTACTAGTCGGCTTTGATGTTCATTTGATTTTAGTTTCGTGAATCAGTCTGAAATAATTCAAGTCTGATTTGAACTGGTCCTTCCTGAAGGACCATGACTGGGCTCCACTGCTGGAAGCGACCAATGCTATCTCTCATGCCTGGGACGTTGTGGTGAGCAATGTCCATGCAACAGTCCTGGAAGAACCTTGAAATTCAGTTAATGACTTATATTTGTAATTTTTTGACAGGAGTCATCATCATTATTGATTCATTTTAAAACTCAGTTAGTCTGATGAATCATTAATTTCAATTGATCAGTCATTGGGTTTGTTTACCATTCAACTAAGGAATCCTTCTTGAGGCACGCGCACTCTGCTACATCTTTTTGCAGCGGCTCTGGGACTGCAGAGATGGCAAGGGCATTGCTACAGCGTGAAGTGAACCAGTCTGGAAAAGTTGGCTTCCATTGTTCAATCCCTACAGTGGCATTGTGGGTTACTTTCCCTTCAATCCAGTATATTTTTCATTAATTGAATCGATTTGTTTTTTTTAATAATTAAGCTTTGATGTTCAGTGGCTTTGATGTTGAGCTACTAGTAGTAGACTAGCGCTGTTTGACAACCTGCCCGGGTGACCTGTAATACTCAGTCTGTCAGCCAATCTGTGACTCTGCCTCAGGAAAACAACGTTGCATGCCAACAGATGTGCAAGGAGGCATTGCAGTGGTCAAGCATAGTCACTGGAGAAGACCATGACTGCTGTATCTTTGGAGACATCACTCAGCTATTGCCTTATGGCACTTTGAACCAGCAGAGGGGGTACTCTGCCAGGCTAGAGGCATCCAAGCAGGTTCAATGTGCTGGTCTAGGGCATTGCTGGATGCACAACTGTGCATGCCCAACAGGGAAGTTGCCTCTGTTTAGCGTGGGAGGATTGCCATGCCCTGACATGTCAACTTGTGGCAAACGTATGAAGCGAGCCGGTCCAACAGCAGATGTCTACATCTCTCATGGTCGCTGGATCACGGAGAATGATGTTCCTTTGGTTCTCATTGAATGCACTCCCGAGCATTGGTGTAGATTAGTAAACAGTTTTGACATTGGCTTTCAGAGGTTACCAAACATCTGAGAGAACAGTAACTATCAGGAGTTGGCTCATAACCGTTAGTATTTGATTGCAAACAAAAGACACTCAGGATTTGGACATGGGCATGGTGCAAGACTCTTGCCCTAAACATCATTTTTACCAGCTATTCTCTTCACCGGGCGACTTCGGGTTTACTGCAACATCAAGACGAAGAACATGGGTGATCGGGGCTCACCTTGACAAGACTGTCTGCCTGCTGGATCCATTTGCAATGCTGGAGTCTATCCGAGAATACATCAACAACATTGTCAGGCTACAAATTCCAGACTACTTGGTCGCCTCTGACATGGAGATTCGGTGCGAGGCTGAAAACCTGGCTCGGAGACGATGTGTGACCAGCTTCAATGGCTCCCTTTCAAATTTGACTGCCCTGCTCACCTGCAGGGAGATCGGGGTCAAAAATGAACTCGATTTCAGGTTTGAAGTACAGTTCCAGAGGCAGCCTGCTGATGTTGCCAGCCTCATTTATTTCTTAGGCGACTCTGCGAAATTTTGCTCATGGTCAGCCATCAGTGGACAGGTGCCATGTTACAGAGTGAATGCCCGCAGTGGCCTTTACTGGATCCCAAGCCAAAGGCGTTGGCTGACTTCCAAGGAACGCTTAGTTAGCATGGGGTGGCCTGTCACTCCTGAGCAAGCAGGCCACCTCAAGGTTCCTTGCCTGGGGGCAACAGATGTTGCCCGAGCGTCAGACCTTTGTGGCAACGCCATGCACTTCCAATCAGCAGGGATTCTCCAATTGGTGGCGCTGGCGTCTTTTGGGCCAATGAGCTCAGACATGTAGGAAGTGAAAAATAATGCCATTGCAAATCTATGGATTTGAAATTGATCTACATGATTAATTTTATTTGTTCTGCATTAATCATCAGTGAGATTCAATCGAATCATCATCAGCTCAGAAGTCTGACTCAGGGGAATCAGATGATCAGATAGATAATCAAAATTTCAGGTAAAGAATCAAATCACTGTTTGTTTGCCAGTTAAGTTGATAATTGAGCGCAGTACGCTGTCACACAGTGTTGTTTTGTTGGTCAGCAAGTTGCAGCTCGAGCTCACTGACGGGAAGCTTCACTCACTGCTCCATCGTCCATGGCATCAGATCTTGGTACATTTTTTGGTGATGGGCAGCAGATGGTTGAAAGAGGACCAGATGAAGACGATGAGGGTCTGAGCGTGAGCAGCAGAGGCAGAGCTGCTTCTGGATCCGCAAAGTCAAGGGCCGCCAAGGCTCCTGCCAGCAAGGCCAAGGCCAAGCGAGGGCAGGGCGCTGTCCTTTCATCCAGCTTCACATGTTGGAGGGTCACGCCGGTTCCTCGTCCTACTGCTTACGTTTTGATAGTTGAACCTGTCTATTTTCGTGCGATAGATGATCCATCCGAATCCGGTCCATGAGTCCACATACATGAACCATCAGTCAGTCAGACAGTTGAGGACATACATTTGAGGGACTTCATGGAGGCATGCGAGCCTGACAAGGCTAACAAGTTGAAGATCACCAACTCGCTTTCCAGCAAAGCCATTCGGCTTGGTTTCTTCGGCATGTTCAGGAAAGCAGACAGTGCTCCATTGGACACGTGGCTTGGATAGAGACTGAGTCACTGTCACTAGACCCCGGTGTTTATGCTCGGATAGTCGTCACTAGTCTCACGTCTTGCATTGCCAATCTATGGTGTGTGTATAATATTTTATTTATTGTATGACTGTACCCCTTCACTGTCAGACTGTTTGCTTTAGGGCTTGATGTTTCCTGAAACATCACCTGGTAGTAACCATTCATTTTAAGAAGCAGATGAGAGTCTTTACTCTGACAGAGTAATTGTCTGATGTCTGATGTCTGACTAGGTTCAACAAGGAAGACTTGAAGAACCAGTTGCTGAAGGATTACGATGAATTGGGGAAGCCGCTTAGCAACTGCACGTTCTTGCAGCTAGTCCAGAAGACAGAGGTGGAATTGAGCAAGAACTTGAAATTCAAGCTCCTGCCTGTCAGTACCTTGATCTTGTAAATGTCAACCATTTTTTGATGTTGGATGACAGTAGTATTTCATTTTTATTATGGTGCTTCTGCTCTACTTCAACAAATGACTGTCTGTTTAATCTCACAAGGCAGTGGGGAGTGGCTTTTGGAGTGCAATGGCATTGTGAAGAACCTCCACCCACCGGCTAAGCCCAACGAGAAGTGGGAGCTGAAGTATGCAGACTCCGGGATCCCGTTCCTCACTGATGGTAGTGAGAAGCTGTGGGCGATGACTGTGTTTCAAACTCAGCAGAAAAGTACAGTGAACTTGAACAATGCTCCACCAGAGCTGGACATCAGCAAGATTGATGAAAGCACGGCTTCGGATACGCCAAAGGCAAAGGCCAAGGAGGGTGATGGTGTAGTGCCAGGCATGCCACAAATTGCAGCATCCGGTTTATTTGGTTTGCTTAACAAATTCTTCTGATTATGTGGGTTAATAATCACACTTTAGACACATATCTATTTAGGGGTTCAACTGACTTAGTAACTTAGGCCCCACTTCTGGTTGGAAACGTCCTCTGTGCTTCTGTGGTCTCGCCCGTCCCACATGCCATGAATGTGGCCATGGATATCTTGATGAGATCATAGCTGGACGAAAACCCCGAATGGGTGACTCGATATGTTTAGCAAAGTATTTCAAATCCTGGATTTAACAATAATTAGTAATATATAAGTCCATCAAGTGAGTGTGAACGAGGAAAAGATCCGGCTGCTCCTGCTGCACCAGCACAACCAGCTGCGCAGACGAAGCGGGTTCCAGTCTGCAAATGCCAGGATGAAAAACCTGAATGCAGCACATGTGGAGAAGGATATCTTCAGCAGACTCTGGCAGGAAAGGTGCCGCACTTCAAGGAAATTCCGATCAAGACCCGCAACTTACAACATTTAGTTGAATATATGTATTATTGTGTTTTTTATTATTTGCTTTTAATTGAATAATACTATCGTCATCCAAACAAATCAATCATCAATCCATGAGTACATTTATTGATGATCCACTCATCAATTGTGCTAAGGCAAGATTGCAGTCTGCGCATGTGGCAAGGAAGTTGAGAAGTGCAGTGATTGCAATGAAGGCTACTTGGACCTGGTCTTGGCTGGAAAGGAGCCTCACTGGAAGGAAGTTCCAGATGAGACTACACCAAAAGGCCCGGGTTGATTGATTCAGTTATTTATGAACCAATAAAATTGTTGTCAGGAGCAAAAAAATATTATTATGTGATGAATCAATGAATCTAGACCCTTTAAGATAATTTAGTTATACCACTACTATAAGACAGTTTCCAAACTTTGCCCTGCCCAGGTGGACAGAAACCTTCTGGTGCTGGAGGTAATGGCGGCCAAGATGCAGGCGGCAATCCAGCAGCGGTTCCTTCTGATGCGAGTGCCTCTGTCATTTCAAGAAGAAGTTTTGTATGTTTTGAATTGAACTTTGACAGACAGACTGACACTTAGTTATATTGTATATATTATGACTTATGAATGACAATAATAATGAATGCATGTTGAGTCACGTGTCTGTCTGTCACTGCTGACTGACAACTGAGGCAGCAAACTTCCAGCTGAGACTCATGCGAAAGTTCCAGGTGATGGTGGAGGTGTGGGTTTAGAACAAAATTTGAATTTGGTTCAGTCTGAAGAGCTATACAAACGTTTGTCATTGTCTGAGTATGTCTAAATCTTTGATTTTAAAAAGTTAGTAGGAATTAGGACTTGGTTTACTTTGTAATCACTCGCCCCGGCCCCTAGTCTTAGACTCAACCGCTGAAGGAGACACCAGCACCGGGAACAATGAGCCTCCACCCAAGCGCGTGAAGATTGAGGAGAAGACTGCTTCTGCCAAAGCACCGCCTAGCATCTTCCAGCCGGCGAAGACAAAGAAGTGAAGTAGGGATTGGATTGACTGAGGGCGTTTGCCACTGGACGGATTCCCCACCACTGACACCGCCCGACAGATTCCCTACCACTGGACGCTACTGAACAGACTCCACTCGGGATGCACTGGTTGGTACAGAAACAGTCGAAGCACAGGTCTGGTTGATGGCAGTTGGGGGAGCTATGGGAGGACAAGTGGAGGGTAGCCCCAGGGTAGCTATTCTGCTTGGGGATAGGTATGTGACCCCGGAAATCTAAACCACTCAAAACATTTAGAGTAGTTTTGAGGAGACCTGCCGTACCTCCACTCATAACGTTTTGAGTAGGTTTTGAGTTGACTTCTGGATACCTGCTGTAACCTCTGAGAACTCAATCTGGAAAGGCAAACGGAACTCGTCAATCCCAGCTCGCCCGATTGAAGAAATTCCATGTCAGTGCATCAGGCGATATCTTGCATACAGTGGTACAGTGGATTTGGCAAAATTGATGATGAACTTAACAAATGCAGTTTTCAAATAAACATGTCTGTCTTTCGTATCACAACACTTACAACCTTGTTTTCATGCACTCGATTCCCTTTAATTTAAGAATTTGAATGATATCAATAAATAAACTTGTATTGTGTTTTGTTTGTTGGGTTATGTTGGATTGATATGCCGAGTCCAATCATACAAAGTCGACGTGACTCTTCCTAATAGCTGACCCATTTTCACCTGATCTGTTCCCTGAATTTGATTTCAAGCGTTGTGTGCAGTAGAAGTTGCGGAAGTTGATCAATCTGCCAGGGTTCAATCAGGTGCGTGGCAGCATAAACTATGAACACTCCAGCATGAGCAAAAAGAAACTGAAAGCGTCGTTTGATGTTTGCGACCGACCGGACCAGGACTTTATCACATATACAATGGACCATTTAATATGATTTACTGATAAAGAGATAGTCAGGGGGACTGACTGACAGAATGACTCACAGACTGACAGAGCCAAAGCAGTTTTATCATCATTGTGCACTGACTTTATTTCTAAAACAATCATGTTCATGTATTTCTTTCTTGGATCCATTCAGTCAATGAATCCAAACAAAAGGATTCAGTCAAAGTCATTGTGCACCTGTGATTTCATAAGCAGCGCTTTTCAGTCAAAGACATTGAAGGAACCCTTCGCCCATACCTGTCATTGAAATCACAATGGCTGGTGGAGATGAAATGGAAATGGGTGTCCAAATCGTCATGGAGCAAAATGAAGATGCCATCGACACACCACCTCGTGGACCTCAACCAGGGAACCCTACATCATTGAATAACCCATGGGCAAGGACACCAACGCCTTCCAGGGTGGGTTGGATTTATGGGGATGCTCATGTTTTCCTTGAACCTACCACACCCAAGGCGCCTCCTCCGACTCCAGTGAATATTGTTGAGTCAGGTGGCAGTAAACGCACTCCATCTCCAGCTCATCAGCAGGTCCACAGTGCGACTGCCTGCAGTCCCCCATCCAAGGCGTCTTCAAAGTCAAGCAAGTGGCAAACACCAGATTCAAAGCGTTCCCGTTCCACGAATTCAGGTGGTGATTGGTTGGAGGAGCTTACACCATCCACCAAAATCATGCATGAGTCGAAAAGATCCAGAACCTCTGCTGGGGAGCATTGGGATACAGCTGTGATGCCATTGACTCTTCCGTCAGTCAAGGGGGAGCTAAATCCGTCAGTGGTGAAAGCTCAGCACTTTGCCTTGGGATGCCTGGCTTCATCTACTACAAAGGTGAATGTGCAATCCACTATGAGGATTCCATCTGCTACATCATCGGCTGTGACGACATCAACTTCAGTGGCTGTTGATTCAGTTTCGACTTCATCTTCATCTACGGCAGGCATGGCTTCAGGTGAAAGCAACACATCTGTGAAAGTGCAGACTAAGTTGACTGTGCGCAAGGGGATGATGGGGAAAGGCTCATGTCTTGCCCTAAACTGTGACAATGATGACAAGCCACTGAAATAGAACAAGTGGCTTCGTCAAGTTTCTGAAGGCTGAGGAAAGCTGAGTCCTTGACCAGTGGGCAGCTGGACCGTGATACATTCACAGTGATCCGACAGATTTTATAATTATGACGACTCCTACTTACTTATATACTTACTACTGACTAGTCTTTAGTTAGTTACTTACTACTGTGATGTGTGTCAATCTAAGCTACTTAGTTCAGCAGTCGTTTATTTTCAGGAAAAGCAACAATCAATTGGTTTGAGCAGGAATCGGGTCAGTAACTCACTCCACTGCCAACAAGATTTCAAGAACTGAGTGCACTGCACTGGCTGGGACTGCAAGACAGTGTTTGTTATATTGTCTGAACTTACTGACTGACTGCTACAGCAATTGTCGTTACTGTTTAGCAGTTTGTGATCTTCAACTCCCTTCAATGTGTCTTTGATTGCAGTCTGGAATTGACTCAGCACTAGCCAGCCCCAATCCCGCCTTGGACTCACAATCCGTGAAGGATGCTATGTGCAAGACACTGACTGACTGGAGTCCTGACTCTCAGAGTAAAGACAGACGGACAATACTACCCATTGTATTGGCCCGGCCACCTGACTGCTCAGCAGGAAAAAACAAGATCAAGTCGCTTCATTCATCACTTCATTATCATTGACAATCGAAGGACGCGCGTGACAATCGAAGGACGCGTATGACTGTATCGTCCCCGCTTTTTTTCCAGCCAGAGTTCCTGATACTGGTGACAGTTCTTTGTGTGCAGTGACGTTCACGTTGTAGATGTAGAGGATGTCCTTGTCCAGGTTGTACTTGATGTCCAGCAGGTAGAATTACCTGAGAGGATAAATAGAATCAGTTTGGATGTGTGACAATCTGAGGCATTGCCTGCCAAAGCATGTCTGACCAACACCGTCACTTCAATGTTTCTTGGCCAGAATTGTTGGATGAGATGAGAGATTCTGCTGATTCAGAAATTTAGGTATCACATGGTGGCCTCATTAATTAATCAGACAAGCCCTGACTGACCTTTAGTCTGAGTGACAGGCTCCTATTATAATTACATATTTTTTTTAAATTGACCGGCCCAGGAATCGTGGCACGCAACATTCACTGGATGGATCAACTTACATCAACATGCGTGACAAGAAGACTATGCAGGCTATCCTCGCATCTTTTCAGAATTATTTGGATGCAATTGTAATTTCAGATTCTGTAATCATTATGTTAGTGTATGTGCCCTATTCTCTGGATTGGATTCTGAATCCTGCATTATTACTTACATCTCCTGGCTTCATGTCTGGCCTGGACTTTGTCACAACAGCAGAACTGAATTGAGGCTCTAGCGCAGGGGCTCAACTCCACCCTCAACCATGCATGGGGCGTTGGTCTAGAGGCTTTGCCGCTTGGACACAAGTTACAAACAGCGGTGGGAATAACAAATCATTGACATTAGATGGATGGATGTAATTTAGCCTGAACATAGGAGACTTGTAGCAGAAGAGCATGCCAAAGGCTCATTTGTTAAAGTGCTAATGATCAATCAAATGGCATGTAGGCATGCTTTGTAAATCCCCACTTCATCCCATCCACAAATTGGCTAATCACTGAATTGCGCAGGCAACTTCAGACAGACTGTATATATTTGCATTCTCCCCTGGAAATGGTTAGTTAAAAGTTTTAAAAGATCAGTCAGATCAAGGCTTGACCAGTCGTCAACCCAAATAAACAGCATGCCCACCACCACCCTTGCTGCCAAGGTTTCCTCCACACAGGCTGATGCAAGGCAAGCTTCCAGCAGCTGCAAATGTCCTTGAGCCATTCAATGAGCGGAGGATGCTCTCAGTTGCAACTGGGTTTCAATCCGTACCGTTTCAGTAGGTCATCAGACAGACATGTTTTCCCATGTAGGATCTAGAAGCCACTTGTCACCTCACTGACTACAACAGTGATCCATTAAACCTGTGGGGGTTGTGCAGGTCATGTATTTTTAAAAGTTGGCATGAGTTGAAATACTTTGCACGATTGTCTGGATGCATTTATCAATTGGTTGTTGTCTAGTCTCATTGACTCATGAGTCAGTCAAATCAGATTTAGTTATGACCATACCACCTGTTAGTGTCACCAGGTAGCAGATCAAGAAGCCCTTCCTTTCAAGATGTTGTATGGTCTTCAAGAACTTGGTGCCCGAGTCTACGTGCAACCAGATAGTTGCCATCAAATCTGACGACTGCAAAAACAGCATCAGGAGGGCATCAAAACAGTATACGATTTTGCTGAGCCTCACAATGGCCAACATGGCCCATGGGCCATTTGGAAGCGCAAGGAACTCCCAGACTCTTCTTCAGGCAGCTGAGGTGCTCTCTGATTCAATGACACAGGACCAGTTTGATATCCTCGTGGAAGGAATGTGCTTCGACCTGAGGTGCGAGTCGGAGGACCATGCTGAAATCCCTCAAGGGGTTCAAGACATCCCTCTTCTGCCAGTGTTTCAAACATTGCCACCATATGTACCCTGGACAATGACGCACAAAGCTTTGAAACCATATGTTGTTGATCAATGTTTTTTTAATTAATTGTGCGTATTTAATATAATATAAAACCTGACTTCAGTGCTATACAAGGTCAAAACAAAATCTTGGTTCGCTTCTATTGCATCTATGAGTCATCTTTGTGATCGGTGGACAATCCTGAGCACTGTACTGGACTTTGTCTTGGATGGTGACCATGCTCCTCCCGTTGCATTACGAATGCAAATTTCTGACAGACTTCCTTTCCTGATTCCTGAGTCTAAGTAGTCTCAGCCCTTATTTACAAACTTTCCTTTCCTGATTGCTGAGTCTAAGTAGTCTCAACCCTTATTTACAAAAGACCATAGTCAGTCAGACTGACTGTCAGACCAGACTTTTATCCTGGCTGCCTGCCCCCAGGTTGACATGCCTTTCGACCTTGAAGTGGAGGATGATGACAACGACGGTTACAACAACGAGGACGAGGATAATGTTGACATGGAACAGGACGGTGATGACAATGCTGGAGCTGGTGAGGATAATCCTGCTGTTCTGCGACCCAAAACAAGGGCTGAACTGAATCAGATGCGTCAACGCTTTGAAAACACAATGAAGTTGGTCGCTCACCTGTTTCATGACCTATCTTTACAAACAGATCTTCGGATGGTGAGTGAAGCAGCTAAGCCCTTGATGGAAGAATACTCCAAGTCGTTGAAACAAATGAGTCTCGGACAGGCCTGGTAACCAGTAGAAAGTAAATTTTAAATTTTAAACTTGTTCTATAAACCATATTGTCAACCTGACACTACCAGTATGAGGTCCTAAGCAAATGAGAAGTTCACCATGAATGACTGCTGAATCATGAGAGTCACGAATAAGTGTGTGTTGTTAGTTGTTAGTTGCAACACCAAAAAAAGAACCCTGAGGCCTGTTCGATCCAGTTCCAGGCAGACAGGGCTGTGGGTGGAATGTGGTGGAGCACTGTTCGTGAATGCCTGTCATCCATCCATTCGGACAGTGCCTTGAAGTATCTCATCACAGTTCAATGCCCTCCTGATGAGATTGAAGATTTCACGGAGAGCTGGCAGATCCAGGAGCTTGGAAAGCTACAAGAGTATTGGTGCTTGCTTTACGAATTGGCCAGTGCCAGGTGCTGGAGCCAAAGCCTCTACACTACATGCCTACCCAACTCCTTTGCTGCATTGCTTCATGATGACAGGGGACTGGCTCAGCAGCACTTGGATTTAATCCACCGTACGTTGGAGGCTGTTCAGAAGGCTGAATCTTTAGTGTTTGGTGACTTGGACCCGTCCTGCTCCAAGAAAGTCAAAGAGGCTGTACACAAACTCCTCGTCAATGACTTGGCCTGGAACCGCTTGCAGGTTACACGAGAACTGTGGGCACGCTGTGAGGGTTGCCATTGGCAAGTGTCAGACAGTGAGCTGCAAGAGTTCCTACGAGCTTTGTTTGGGCACTGCCCAAACACAAAGTTTGATCTGGAGGATGCGTTTGCACATCTAGCCAGTGTGGGCCGCATGTCGTCCATGGCTACAGCTATGAGCAAGTCACATAGCTGATGATTCAACAATCAGTGTTCAATTGTTTTGATCAATTTCAGGTGGACCTGAGAAATCAAACTATGTTCCATGATAATCTGATAGTAGTTGCCTTTAACGTTTGGAGTTGCGTTTGCATCACCAGTTAGTACTATTCAACCGGGCTTAGGTGGACACGCTATTTCTATACAACCACGCAACCAAAGCTCAAAGAGACCCATTGGCCACAACTGAGTGTATCTCTCCAAGACCACTGTAGATACATGGGAACATATGAGCCTGGGAAAGCCTTTAAAGCTGCCACCGATCTTACCAAGAGCACCCGGGATGGTTTGCTCAAGTTGAAATTGGGTGATGTGAAGAAGGCAGGCCCGGAATCCCATCAACGTGCCTGTGCAGCGACTGCATGGCTACTCTGCAATCGCCAAAGCAGCTTTGCCAGCATCGTCAATGCATGGAGAGGACAGGTGGTTGTGTGACAGTGAAAAATTTAGCTAAGTACTTTTGTTTGCTGTTTGATTGCAGGAAATTGTTTTGCTCCAGTATGAGGGTCCTGATCCGCACCCAAAGTGTAATAATCAGGGCCTTTCTATGTTCATGAAACCGTCGTCGCCAGTGGCAAATCCACCAGGAATCTTCCTAGTCAAAGGGCAAATCTACCAGAAGCCAAACAGGGACGGCAGTGAGAGCGTGTTGCTATGCCTTGGTTTCCGAGAGTACGCTGCACTTGGGGTGCCTTTGGAAAAGCAAGCGTTTGGTGGAGAGGTGACTGGGCCTTTGTAAAGAGGTTCATCAATTGCGTTGACGTTCAGTTGACTGACGTCAATCATTGAATTCATTAGTTGTGTACAGTACAATGGTTTTGCTCTCAATGAGTTAAAAATGATTATTTAATTAAAGACGAATCATCAGTCACATATAGTTTAGTAAATTTGGTGATGATAGATCGTCCAAATCTGTCCCTGGAAAGCTTAACTCAGTCAGATGGCTCAGGTATACTTCTTTTTTTGGCAAAAGTGTCCAGCAATCACTTTCGCCAAGATGGATGTTTAATGACAGGCTGGACGAGAATGGATGGCTGCATGTTCCTACCACTGTATGCCACCCATGGCAGGTGCCAGTCAAGTTGCGATCTCTCACTTGCTATGTCAGGCAGACTGGGCCTGCTCAAGGGATTGTGAAGGGTGCAGTCAAAGCAGGGCTCTTTATACGTGCTGATCACCTTCATGAGCTTCAGGCGTACTACCGCTTCACGACAGTGAAGCCTGGAAGTGGACATGGGAAGAACGGAAACCTTGTGAAGCGTGATTTCGGTGAAGGTCTGGTTAATTACTTGTTCCCAGACGCTTCTGAAAGTGAGAAGCGCGAAATGCTCATGGCAATCCTGGGAAAGAATTGCAAGCATTGTGGTAAAACCACTATCCATGCAAAGGACATCCTGGCCGCCATGAATGGACTCGACACCGAAGACATTCCAGAATTCCAGCAGCTTCACAGTGTGGCATTGAATGAGCTGGACTTACATGCAGCCCGGCCCAACAGGCAACCCCGAATGGGGGGGGGATGGTGTACGAACCCAAGTCTTACACCACACCAGAGGAGCTCAGGAGAGATCTTGACTCGTTGTGTCCAACCAATGCGAAGATATACCGGCACCCACAACTGAAGAGATTTCAGGCCTTCATCGTGCCAGCAGGACACGGACTCTTGATACTCTCAACACAACGTTTTGTTTAGTTCAGTGGATTAATTATCTTAATGGTGTGGGTGATTAGATGTGATTAGTGAGAAAGGGAAGAGCTACCTTTTTCTCTCCAAGTTGCAATTACTAAGAACGACAATTCAGCCACGCCACGTACTGGCATGGAGTCAAGAAACGCATGACGGAAGCTGCAGCTTTGATGGAATGCGTCCAATGGATGTGGGACGTGTATGGTTCCACTACCCCGCTGACAGAGCTGGATAAAGTGTCAGACCCTCATTTGATACCCCAAGTCTAACTTCTAGAGTTCACTTGGATTCACAGAGATGTCAGTTGATGTTTTCATGCTGCCATCGAATTTAGATTGTTCATGATGGCTCAGCTCAGGCCAACTGAAGCTGACGTGAAATTGGTGGTGGCTTCTTTTGCTGCAGCGTCGCAAGAAATGCAGCCGATGCCGATGGAGGAAGACAAGTCTGAGAGTGTGCCTAAGAGTGCCCCATCCACTTCGTCAAAGACGAAGAGTGTGAAGAGTGACCCATCAACTTCGTTGAAGACGAAGGAGTTGGATGCAAAGGCCAAAAAGGTCAAGAAAGACACCAAACAGGCCAAGAAGGCCACCAAGAAGTGAAAACAAAGAGGCACTTTGAATAGCAGCAGTGAAGAGAAGGGAAAGAACAGGGAAGGGAAAGAACATAGGTTTACAAAACCTTTTGAAGAGTTAAGATTTCCAGGGTCTCATTTGCACGATCTATCACATCTCCTCTGAGAGTCATGCTGGGTTGCAGATCATGTCCGAGTGGAGGATGATGTGGCGCCTAACTGGTATATATATATATATACCTTTATCCTTATCCCGGAAAGTGTCTCTTCAAGTCGTATGAATCTGATGCTTCGTGAGGTTGAGGTCATCGGGCCATCAGGGGGCGAAGAGAAAAAAAGGAGAGAGAGAGAGAGTGTGTGGAGGCAAATTAGTCAGTGTGAAATGTGAAGGAGATTGGTCTCGAATCCCACCATGAGCGGCCAGTGGTGGCCCACTGTGGTCTTCCAGGAAGGCACCGGAGGCAGCTCGGATGCGCCAAAACCGTTCCAGCCCAGCTGTGAGACTTGGCCGATAGGGCATGACCGGCAACTGTTGAAAGCCTGAATCTATAGATTCAGCCATGGTGACGCTCGCCAGCATATGCACCGTGTGAAAAAGGCTCAACAAATCCAAAAACACGTGATTCATAAACCCGCTGCATTTGGATTGAAAACCTCTTGATCTGCGGGGTGTTTTTGATCAAGAGTCAGGTTTCTTCTTCAAACACCCAAAGCTGAACGTTCCAACCGACGTTCCGCCCGCGGTCTGCCGCTGCCACTGTCCCTGCCACGCTGCTGCCGCGCGGTGAGCTTCTGCACGTCTTGACGCCACTGGTGGAAGAAGCGCTGCAGCGCTAGCTTCAGGGCCTCAGAGGGTCCAGGCTCTACGACCCGGACTCGCCCAAGTCATTGAACAAGTCATCGAACCCCATCTGGATGAACTGGCTCCATGAAACGAAAGGTGGGCGACGGAGGTGAACGAAAGGTAGGGGTGGGAAGGTTCTGAGCAGGCTACCTTTCATGGAAAAAGTTCGTGAAAAGCATGTGGTTGTTGTTGTCGTCGTCGTCGTCGTCGTTGTTGGTTGGTCTTGTTCATGTTATATACATGTTCCCAAAAGAGTGCGCAGCTTCTCCCAAAAGCCTCATCGTCCCCATGCATGCTGACAGCCCACAATGGCCAAGCAAAGGGATGCCCTTCACCCGGCCCTCTGGATGTCTTTGATTCTGAAGGGATGCCCTACTCCTGGAGCTGCCAGGTCCACTCGCACCGACTCGCACCTCCTCCAAGCGGCCTCTGCGTGGGACGGCCAGGCGGCACGGAGCTCGGCGAGCCACTTCGCCGCCAGGAGGGACAGGCCGCCGAGGGTGAGGCCGGGGTGCGACATGGTCGCCGACGGGGGGTGCAAAGACATCAGGAAGAAGGGGGTGGTCACGTCAGCGGTGAGTATGATTTGGTGAACGCATGGGCATCACCTGGAAAAGGTTCCTGATGGACCCTCCGGAGAAAAAAAGGACTTGAAGTTTGGTGGTTCCCCTGGAGTAGTTCCACCCATGTGGTGCTAGGGCCAGTGAGCACGCTGTTCACCTCCTTCCTATGCCGTTGCCCGTTCATGACTGTCGCATCCTTGTACCTTCTATGTATACCTTCATGGACCCTTCGTGGTGTTCTTGTAGCTACATACCACACATGGACCCATCGGGTTCTTGAATGTCGCCTTTACACCTCCCCCTCGCTGGGCCAGAAAGCCAAACCGACCGAACCGGGCCGTGGTGGATGCGCGGTTCCCGCTTCCACGGGACGAACTCGTCAGGGACGGGAGGTGCCGCCGAAGTGGGGTGCCGCTCACAGCTGAGTTTTAGACGATTTCAGACTGTCAGTTACAACGTGTCCGTGTCCGCGGTCATATGTATATGTGTATACATATATATACATATGTATGTGTGTATATGTATGTTTGGTGTGTCTTTTTTTTCATGTGTTTATAGATTTGTCAATAGTGTAACTACCTTCATGTATGGTCTTGCGAGCACTGCCGACCCAAAGCTCGAAATGAACGGTTGCAACGAATCAGACAAACAGATTCTGCGATTCTCCGCGGGTCTCTGTTGGAAGCAGGGTGCTCGTCCATCATACTCCTGATCAGGTGGATCGTTGAATCACACCTAGGACCTAGGAGAGAAACAACACATCCTCCAGAGACACTGCCCAAAAGCTGCCCAAAGCTTCCGGTCAAAAACCGAGCCTTGCGCATAGATTTGCTCCGGAACCCTGAACAGACCACCGATGACTTGGTTTCCGCGCGTTTCTTTGCCGAGCGTCTCGGGAGACCCGGAGGAATTCACAGGAATTGATTCACTCCTGGAACCCCAAACAACTAGAAACAAATGGTTGTTCCAATATGGCAATTGAAATCCTTTATATAGGAAATGGTTGTTTGGGGAAACATCCATTTCTTTCTGGATGTTTGGGGTTCCAGGCTGGAATTCACTGGAATCGAACGGGGTGATACTCGCATGACCCATGGCAGCTAGATCTCCTCTGGGGCTCTGAAGAGTCACTCTGGCCAGGGATGGCCCAGCTGAGAAGGTCGGTTCTACTGGCAGTTGAGGAGAAAGAAACACTCCGGAGTCTTTGGGGCCTTTGAAGGGTCAGGAAGCTCTTTGACGTATGAGAGATAAAACTCAAGAAGTGTTGGCTTCTGTACGTCCTTGTCACCTATCCCCCCTCAAAAAATGCAAGCAAAACCCTTGATGATATGAAGCCTGATGAGGAGGCTTTGCAGTAATCCATGTGAAAGAATTTGGCAACTACCTGAGCACCCACCTAAGCACCCACCCACCCAAAGAAAAATAGAAATGAAAAAACGTTTGGTCGCTTCTCCTTGATGTAAAAGCCTTATATTAACGTATGTATATATATATACAGAGAGAGAGCGAGATAGAAATGATGTCCAATGTCAACGGGGCATGGTCGTTTCTACCTGCAGCTATCGCAATGATACCACATCCGCCGACGGATTGTTTGGTGGTTCCAGTTTCCCACCTTTTAGTATGCATGCGCACCCCACACCCTATCCATATATCCATCTATCCATCTATCCACCTACATATCTGTGTGTGTTTACGTTCTATTCCAATCCACAGGGTGCAAAGAGGGCCCATGGGTTGGCGACCCCTGTCCGTCGGCAGAGAAAACAAACACTCTTCTTTCTCCTTCTGAGTTCCTCTGGTGAGAGGTTTTTCATGGTTTTTCATTCGCAGGAGAATTGGAAGGACTGAAGCACCTCAAACTTTGTTGGTCAAAGCAGGATCACACCTGGATAGGCCCTCCACTGGGCCCACCCACCGTACCACCCACCTCAAAATAATATTATATTATTTTGAGGTGGTTGGAGATATCCGCATCAAATTATTTCTGGACTGTCAGAGTCTGCCAAATAATTTCAATAATGTAATACAAATTTCCAACATAGATCCGACACGAGACCATCTAGGTGGGACCCACCCCCCCTAAAGTTGACCAAAGTTGACTCAGCTCGGATTACCACGGACAGTGTCATAATGGGTAGTTGAGTAGTCAACCACCCTTCAAATAATCTATTACTGGGGCTGCTGCTGCTTGCTATAGTCCCACCGTCCCGCTCTACGTGGCTAACACGAACCCCTAAGCCGCTGATGTTGGTTTATGCCGGTTCTTCCTGGCTATTTTTAATCAAATCTTCAAAAACCTAGCGAATTTGCACATTGTTTCCAATCTCTTTTCCTCTTCCACTGTTTCCTTGTTGTTTGTTCTGGCAAAGTCGATGGCACGGCCCCCTGTCCGTCGAAACGTCAAAAACGAGACTCAGACCCATCACATCGTCACATGGTCACATGGCGGATCTATCTGTCTACAGCGGTTCCCAACAAGTTCTCTTCTCGAGAATCCCAACACAAAGATTTTGGGGGAGACCCACCTTCAGTCCCAATCAATATCATTTATTCAACACCCACTCACAAGCTTCCAACTCAGATGAATTACAGTTGGTTCCAGGGTTTCTGGTACAGTCATACTATGAGTTTCACCATGTTTCACCCATACAATCTTTATATACCACTTCCCGCCCCGCCCCAACTACAGTT